TCTCCCTTCAAGGCCTCTCATCCTGCAGGCCCCCATCTCCCTTCAAGGCCTCTCATCCTGCAGGCCCCCATCTCCCTTCATGGCCTCTTGTCCTGCAGGCCCCTATCTCCCTTCACAGCCTCTCTCTCATCCTGCAGGCCCCCATCTCCCTTCATGGCCTCTCGTCCTGCAGGCCCGTCTCCCTTCATGGCCTCTCGTCCTGCAGGCCCCCGTTTCCCTTCATGGCCTCTCGTCCTGAAGGCCCCCGTCTCCCTTCAAGGCCTCTTGTCCTGCAGGCCCCGGTCTCCCTTCACGGCCCTCTTGTTCTGCAGGTGCCCATCTGCCCTCATGGCCTTTTGACCTGCAGGACCCCATCTCCCTTCACGGCCTCTTGACTTTCAGGTCCCTTTCTCCCTTCAGGACCTCTCTCATCTTGCAGGCCCCATCTCCCTTCAAGGCCTCTCATCCTGCAGGCCCCCATCTCCCTTCATGGCCTCTTGTCCTGCAGGCCCCCATCTCCCTTCACAGCCTCTCTCTCATCCTGCAGGCCCCCTTCTCCCTTCATGGCCCCTCATCCTGCAGGCCCCTGTCTCCCTTCAAGACCTCTCTCTTGTCCCGCAGGCCCCGTCTTCCTTCACAGCCTCTCATCCTGCAGAGCCCCCGTCTTCCTTCACGGCCTCGTCCTGCAGGCCCCAGCTCCCTTCACATGTGTCACTCCAGCTGCTTTGCCCAGTCTCTTCTTTCAGTTTCTCCTCATTGAAAATGTTCGTTAACTCTTAATAATTTTTCCTCTGAATATTGAGAAATTTTTTATTTTATTGATGGTAAATATTGAACTAATAAAATCTTTTGTAAAGATGTGAAACTAGTGTACGTGTGACTGGTTTATATACAGATGTCTCTAGTACTCTGGTTGGTGGTCCTGTCATGACCACCGCCCCCTTATCCATCAGCTGCTCTGAATCTCCCCATATTCCAGGCTGACATGAAATCCATAGATCATGTAATCTGCCTCCCTCCTCAGTGAAATCTGGGTCCTGTACTTGTGATAATGTCCAAATACCCATTGAGGTGTTTGAACAGATGGATGTTGCACTGGGTGTGCTCACTGACTGGCCAACTGACTGCAAGAGATCCAGTCCCAAAGAAAGGGGTTCCACGAGCATTCAGAAAGTATCGAGTATCATTAATACTGAACACAGGTAAGATTTTGCTGAAAGTAATTAAAATTTTGCTGAATTAAAAAGTAACGCAGCTGTACATCGATAGAAATGAACACTCATGCCCACTGACGTCAGGTCAGTTCTGATCCGTAGCGATGCTTCAGGACAGAGTAGAACTGTCCGTAGGCTTTCCAAGGCTGGGAATCTTTGGAAGCAGACTGCCACCTCTTCCTCCTGTGGAGTGAGGAGTCACTGTGTTCGAACTGCCGACCTTTGGGTTAGCAGCTGAGCTTCTAAACCGCAAACCGCTGTGTTGCCAAGGCTACTGCGTTAACAAGGAACTGCCAGAAAGTCAGGCCTGGTTTAGAAGAGTGTAGCTGTTCTCATTGTGATGCTTACCATGAAATACACCTGTTAGCCAAAGATTTACACGATGTTAAAACACGAGACACTGTGATTGGTGCCAGCATGGGGAGCGGCTGTCCAAATGTGACGTGTGACTGGAAAGCTTGTGTGGGGAGAGCCAGAGAAGGGCAGGCGAGGAAGGTAGGACACGCCAGGTCGAGACCGCGTGTGGACAGGGCACCTGCACCGCATCTGAGTAGCTGTGGGGCAGGCGGCAGGGTGGACGGAGCCAGTAGGAGGCAGCCAGGCCATGCGGCAAAGACAGAGACTGGAGGGCTGTGACTCGGAGATGTAGGCCAGCCCGTGCCCTGAGAGCCATTATGCAAAGGAGCAATGTGATTAGATTTGCATTTTGATGAGATCATTTTGGCTGCAGGTTAGAAAATGGCTCAGAGAGATGCAAAGGTCAGGACATGAGTGTGCAGGTGCCATGGGACAGGCGCGAGGTGGTTTTGTCACGCAGAGCACACCTGTATCTGCAGGCCTGGGGGCTGGGCTTGGGTGGGGGACAGTTGATGGGTTTGGAAGCGACTCAAGGGGCAGCAGGGTGAATTTGGCCCCATGGAGGGGGGGTAAAGGACAAGGATGGTGCCTGGACTTCTGGCCTGAGAAAGGTAGGGGAGACTGCCAGGCTGGGGACCAGGCTGGGCGGCTGGAGTCTGTGTGGGGGGATGTGGGTGTGAGATGTCATTGACCGAGGAGGACTGGGTGGGACAGCAGTGTGTGTGTGAACCCCATGGCAGCGGTCACCCACCCTGGGGTGGTGATGTCTCAGCGGAGGAGCGGCCCCACCTCTTCGCATCTCACCCGTAGATGCCGTGTCGTTCACAGATGGGAGGTTTGCAGCAGCCCTGGTGGACCGAGTCTGTCACCATCATTTTTCCAACATCATATGCTTACTTTGTATCCCTGGGCTACTTTCTGGTCCATGTCCCTACAGACTTTGTCCTCATGCCAGTGTACCCGCAGGATAGTGGGGACACCACTGGGAACCGCAAACATTGGTGGACTCTCCTGATAGTGCAAGTCAGTTAGATTTACTGGGGTGACTGGAACTGGGTGAACTGGGTCTCTGAGCTCTACCCATGGAACAAGAGACTCCACCCTGTGGATGAACCGGTGGTGGGGGCTGAAACTGCGGGGAAAAGAGGGGAGGAGCGGTTGGGGACCTGGAGAAAATTACCCCCCTGGTCCCAGCTGCTACGAGAGGGAGGCTGCTGGAGTCACACCCTGTGGGTCAGAGCTCCGGTGGCGTGGTCCCTATGGAGCTGCACTGCTAATCCAAACGCTGAGCCTCTGCCGGTTCGAATCCACCAGTCGCTCCAAGGACGAAAGATGGGCAGCCTCAACCACTAGAGGGTCAGCTGTGAGTCAGAACTGGACATTGAGCCTCTAGGAGGAGGTCCCTGCTGACCTGGACAGCACTGAGCGGTACGCTGGCAGCCGAGAAGTCGTTGGAAGGATGTGGTAGTGACAGCAAATGTCTCTTACATAATGCAAAGTTGACACTCAGAATTCAAGTCCCTTTTAGTGCCGTCTTCATATATAAAGCCCTGGTCACAGAGTGTAGCTGGAATCCCCTCAGCTGTTCCGTGGGAGAAAGATGGACCGTCTCCTTCCTTCTGCGGTGGAAAGACGTGCGAGTGAGTGGGTTTGTGTTTGAATTATGCAGACCTGAAAGGAGATGCTGGGTGGTGCCGTTACACACTGGAGTCCTCGCTCTAGCTGAAAGGTTGGGAACTCACTCAGAGGTGCCGCGGAAGAAGGGCCTGGCCATCTGCAGGTCTAGAGAGCATGTGTGCTTGCCGTGGGCTAGGGCCGATGTGACAGCGGCTCGTCACGAGGACGCAGGCGGATGGAAGCATGTTTATTATTTCCATCGGAACAAAACAAAGTTAGAATTGTGCTTTCTACTTTTGTGGAAAAAACCCAACTTTCCTTAAATAAGATCTTGGAACTGGAAGTCAGCCTGCAATTGGAGATAAAATATATTCCGAGCTGCGTGTTTTGTCAGCTGAGAGATGATTTTGTCCTTTTTGTTGTTCTTCAGGAGGCTGGGCTGTTTTCTCAGCTCTTGTGATAAACACAGATTGACGAAGCCCCCCTCGGGCGCCATCGATTCAGGGCGAGTCAGCCGTGACTAATCATTGGCCATTAGCCTGCTTCGGGCTCATGTACTCTAACAAACCTCTTCATTTTCAGGACGAGGATTTGAAGATGTTTGGTATATGAGTTGTAAATGAATTGCATTTTCTGGAGGAAAAAATACATCCCCCCTGAAACCTCTAGGGTCAGCGAAGGAGAGGAAGACCCTCGAGATGGGCTGACACAGTCACTCGACTGGACTCCAGCAGAGAAGATGGTGAGGACGGCCAGGACGGGGCAGGGTTTTGA